AAGCGAGGGAGAGGTGTAGAGAGGAGACGGAGGGAGGGAGAAGGGAAGGGGTAGGGAGGGAGTGAAGAGTGAAGGTAAGGAGGGAGTGAAGGGTGAAGGTAGGGAAGGAGGGAGAAGGAAAGAGTGAAGGTAAGGAGGGGAGGGAGGAGGGAGGGAGGGAGAGAAGGGGTAGTAGAGAGGAGAGAGAGAGAGGAGAGGGAGAGGAAGATATACGTGACAGTAAGAAGGGAAAGCGCAGGGGGAGGGGAGAGTCGTAGAGTTGAGAAAAAGTATGAGCAGGGAACCTCACACAGGGAGAACTGAATTGGAGAGAAGTAGAGAGGAATACAGAAGGAAGGTCTAGAGATGACGGCAGGAAATATATTGAAACAGTGGTGGACGCTCCATGCCTATTTAAATCTATGCAGTTAAAAGAATTACAATCAATTAATTACAATTATAATTGTATAGTTGTAATTGTAATTGTACAGTTACAACAATAATTAATTAATACAATTAATTAATTAATTATCAGTTTTATCAGCCTGCTCCAATCTCTCCTTTCAGAATAGGCAACCTGGGCAATGAGGAAGCAGGAGTCGACCTTGAACAAAGTGTCAATGACAATGTAGAGGTCAAAGAAACGATCGGCAATTGTTTCCGGGAAGAGGCATTCTGGGACGAAGCGCAGATGAACGACATAAAGAAACACTTGAACATCTATTAACAACACAACGGCTTAGTATAGTTTCTATGTGCGTATACGCTTTATTTTTTATTTTTTGGTAAATAAATAGTCATAACTTTACACAGGCGTCGTATAAATAATTAATGTGGTCGCAGTCGGGGGCTTTTTTCGTGAAAAAACAACAACAAATCGATATTGCTTTAACTGTAAAAAAAATCAGTCATTGATGATCTCAGAGCATTTCATTTGTGAAATTTGATAGCAAATCTATAATTATGGAAGTATGCAATTCATTACTATATTACATTGGATCAATGTAAAAAAAATTATAACAAAATAAAAGAGCGTCATTTCGAATCCTAGCTATTCGAACTGACGAGCGTTGTTTCCCTGAACAATGGATATTCAATGATCGCAGATGCATTGTTACGAAATCGAATGTAGCAAAATAAATGAACAGCAAGCTATAAACTGCGAGGCAGTGTTCCTCGACGATTCTGGGATCGACCGTCGAGGAAAATCTACAATTATGATATCATGGCATCCGGGGAAAATGGCGTCGATCTGTCGTTCACCTTGCAGGCAAACGACTGTACACGACTTACTTCGATTTCAGTTTCTCTTCCACCGTACGTCTTCCTGCGCGCATGTGGTTGGCTATCGTACTCGGAAATAATTACTTTTTACCGCGGTTAAATTATGTGCAACAAGGCCTCCGATTGGGGACAAGGGCCATTATAATTTAACCGCGGTTAAATAATGTGCGACGAGGCCTCTGATTGGGAACAAGGGCCATTATAATTTAACCGCGGTTAAATTATGTGCGACGTGGTGTCTGCGTGCGTCGCGTGCGTCGCGTGTGTGGTGTGCACCGCGTGCAGTGGCGTCGTCGCGCAGTGTGTGTGTTGTGTGTGTGTCGGGTGTTGTGTGCGTGTGTGTGTGTGTGTGGGTGTGTGTGTGTGTGTGTGTGGTGTAGTGTGTGTGTGCGTGCTCTCGCGCGCTCGCTGTGTTCTACTATACAATATTTTTATCAAAGGTACAGGTATACTGTAAAGTTGCGGCCGGCTCTTGGAGTATTATCAGAGGTCGTCGAATCCAAAAGAAATTGTTTTTTTCATTAAGCTCACCTGAATATAATATACATATTATCATTGGTATATCATCGTACTATTATACTGCGTATCGGTAATATTATACTTCATACTCGTATGGTAATGATCTATATTATATCGTCGCCCACTCGTGCCGCGCCCAACCCAACTCTCTTCTTCTTCGCTCTACTCTCTTCGACACCCGCGGGGTAGCAACATGCACGCTCGCACGCACGCACGCACACGGCACAACAAGTCCCGCTTAGATAAAGGGAGAGTCAGTTGATACCGGTTATGAGGTAGAAACAACACACACACACCACACACGCGGTGCATACCTGCCCACCGGCCGTCACACACGCACACATCACAAACACAACACAACACAGCACCACACAAGAGCGACACACACACCACACACATCACTGGCACATACGCGTGCGGACGCACCCGACGCAAGCACCGCGTATCCAGCACGGGGTGATAGCGCAAAGCTATACGCGGCGTAATCACGGCTGCTAATATACAAATACAGAGCGCGTTGCAAAACCTCACAACCCGCCATGCAGCAGCGGCAAGCCGCCAGCAACTGCGCCAACGCAGCCAGCACTGCCATCCGATGACGGCAAATAACGGCGCCTGATGATAAAAGCTGCGCTCACCCAAAGAAACGAGTTCTCCATTCGTTCTTATACTCAGCTCGGTCGTTCACGCGCTGCAACGTGGCGTGGTGGGGGAGTCCGGTCGTAGCGAGGCAAGCGAGTAGCACTAGCGAACAAGATACGTCAGCTAGGTAACAGAGCACCCAACCGCGCTACTCCGGCCGCTGCCGCTGGCCGGCTGGGCCGCTGGCCGTTCATCTGCGCGTGCTACCGGGTGCTACGCATTTCATTAATAGCGGTCAGGCAATCGCAGGCTTCGCGGGCAGCACAGAGAGCAATATCGTCTGTGTGCGGCGTGTGTGTGTGCGCGTGTAATGTGGCGTGTGTGTGTGTGTGTGTGTGTTGTGTGTGCGCGACAGCGGTGTGTGTTGGTGTGTGTGTGTGGTGTGTGTGTGTGTGTTGGTGTGTGTGCGTGACGTGTGCGTGTTGTGTGTGGGCGGCGCGTTTGTGTATGTGTGTGACTGTATTAATATCATCCTACATATCCCTGGTTCAGTGCCTTAGCGGGGTGTGATTCCATGAAGCTGCTGTTTGCTGGCTGCTGGCTGCTGCTCCACTGGTTTCTGCCTGCTGCTGTTGCACTACTACTTGCTGGCTACTGCCTCGCTCGCTCGCTCGCTGGCGCCCTGCTCCGCGCTGCTGGCTGCCCTACTACTGCTCGCATGGCTGCTACGCTGGGCTGCTGCTACTGCTGCTGCTACTCGGCTGGCTAGCTGCTGCTCGTTGCTAACTACTCACCTACTCGGCCTGGTTGCTCGCTCGCTGGCTGCTACTCGCTGCTCTGCTACTGCTGCCTGCTGCTACCTCCGCTGGCTGCTCCGGCTAGGCTGCTACTCCACCTACCCTGCCTCGCTCCGTTGCCTCCGCTCGGCTCCCGCCTCACGGCTACTGGACCCGCCCCCGCCTGCTGCTGCCTGCGTGCTGCTGCTGCTGCACGCTGCTGCTCGCTGCTGCTACTGCTGCTGCTCGCCTCGCTCGCTACTGCGCTGCCCCCGCTCGCTGCTCTCCCACCGGGCACTGCTACTGCTGGCTTGCTGCTGCTGCTAACTTGGTTACCGCTCAAAAGCTCGGCTACTGATTCGGCTGCTGGCGCTGCTGCTGCTGCGTGAACTGCTGCTGCTGCTGCCTGCTAGCTGCTGCTCGGCTGTTTGCTGATGCCTGGCCTACTCGCTGCTCACTCACCACTATAGTGGTGTGGTTCGGTGCTGTGGTTCGCGTGTTGGTGGTGCGCTGCCCTGCTGGCCCGCTACTGCTGCAGACTAAGCGCATCTTTGCGTGAAGCTCTAAGCAGACATCTACCAGCTCTCCGCCTCCGCCTGCACACGCGAGTCATCGCGATGACGCACGTGGGCCGGCGACCGCGTCCTCACGACAGCGACGACCAAATCTATGGGTTACGGAAAGCGCAACTTGACGGAAATCTAATGACGTCATCGGATTTGATGACGTCGAATCGTGCGGCTGTAATTGAGAGCGTAATGACTGTATGCGATGTACCTTACGGGTGCTCGCCTGCTGCTGCTGCTGCTCGCTGCTGCTCACTGGTCCGGCGGCTCGCTGCCTCGCTGCTGACTGAAGACAGCTGCATTTTCTCCTCATTGAGTCGATCGCGCTGTATCGCCTGCGTGTATCCATCCTCAGTCCCCTGGCAGCAGCCAGGCTGGCATGCATGCACAGCGCGCCAACTGTTTATATCACACACACACCCGACACACACACACACACACACACAGGGCACACACACACACACCACACCACGACACACCACACAACACCACCATGACAACAGCACACCACACACACACACAACACACCACACACATAGCACAGCATACCACACTGCAGCAACACACACAACACCACCGCGCACACCACCCCCACACACACAAGCAGCATCACCAGGAGGCTCGACACACACACACACAGCGACACACATGGGCACCACACGCTCACACTACACACACAGCACACAACCGGGCACACACACACCACACCACCACAGTCACGGCACACACTATATTATTATATATATTAATTATGCAACACCCGGGGCCCTAGCGCCACCACAGCAGCACACACGCTCAGCACACACAGCTCACACGGACGCCCCCCGTCAACACACACCCGCATCGCACAAGCATCAAGAGACCCCTCCGGTTTCGTCTCTTGTTTTCTGGCACGCACACACACACCAACACACCACCATACGACACACGGGCGCTGCGACGACGCACCACCCACACACACACCACCCACCCACACACAGCACACACAACACACACTACACCCACCTAAGGTCTGCCCGGCCATGACCACACACAGCACAGACACGCTAACGCAGGCCGCACTACACACAAACCACAAGACCCACACACCAGGAGTCTCGCTGAGTGCGAAGTCAGCAGGAAAACTGGAGCCGTACACCCGTCGTTCCGCGCCGCCCGCTGAAATTTGCTTTTTCCATAATGCTAATCGACTGTAAGCCGCGCCGGCATCACGGCTATTACGATGACAGTTAATTCATTGTCCAATTTCTAGCCAATCGCAGGCCGGCAATGTTTATTTCAAATTAAATTTGGCCCGCGTGGATGCTGGCGCGTAGAAACGATGGACGATTGCCCTCGATTGAACATCGCGAGAGTAGCGCTATGATGGTGATGTGAATCGCAATCAATTAAGCAGGCGAGCCTTACAACGAATGAATTTATCTGGCCGTGCGCTGGACATACACACCGCGTGATCACGAACGTTAACAGTCCGCACGCACATATGCGAGCACACACACACACTCACATACACACACACCCACACACCACACACACACGACCAGGCACACCACACAAGCACCAACACACGGGCGCGACGCCGCGCAAGACCGACAGGCACGGCCACGCTCACACACGTACCTCGCTCGTTGCCCGCTCGCGCCGCTCGGCGGCCGCACACACCACAGCCGCACACACACGTAGCACCGCCACACACACAGGATCGGTACAGAGTCCAACCCCACACGCACGCACACACAGCCACACACACACACAGCAAGACATACAGCAGCTCACAGCACAACGCCAGCCAACACACACTCCCCACCGGCCACACAGCTGCGCAACAGCACACGCCGCCGCTCCAGCCGCACTACGGGCACCACCGACACACCGCCAACCCGACACACCACCACGCGCTCGACACGCACACACGCCCACCGACACGGTCCCGCGCGCCCCACCCTCCGCACAGCACGCACACACAACACACACAACACACACACACGACCCTGCAGACA